CTAAACCCTAAACCCTAAACCCTAAACCCCTAAACCCATCATCCTGTGACACCTGTGTCAGGTGCATCAGGGTGAGGCTCTGGGGAGAAATGGAGCTCATCTACGCGAACAAGTACATGGACATTGCCATGGCGATTCTCGGATCGATGGGTTCGGGGTTTGGGGTTTAGGGTTTAGGGTTTAGGGTCTAGGGTTTAGGGTTTAGGGTATAGGGTCCAGGGTTTAGGGTTTAGGGTAGCCCTGGGATACAATACGAACAAGAACCTTGAAACATCTCCCCAGCAGCTCAACTGCAAGACCGTGCGACAACGACCCTCCTTCCGCAACAATCATGGGTTCCCCACGTTGCCGCCATAACTCAGGCCATGTAGAATCAAGCCTGATTAAGGGTATTCAGGGGGAACCTAGGGGGGGATAGTATAGTAGGGGAACCGATGAAACAATAAACCCTAAACCCGAAACCCTACAAAGCTGTAGACTCGGATCCTAGATTGAGAGTGCAGGTAGAGGTGGGGGCGGCAGTGGATCTGCCGGTGTAAACAAGGGTTGTCAAACTCAGGCTCCTCCTACTAGATGCTCGGGTTTAGGGTGTAGGGTTTAGGGTTTGAGTTCGCAACACGCGGCCTTTTAGCTGAAGTCTTACAAAGCCACAAATACCACCTTCCACCCTCAGCCCTCACCCCCAAACCCCCCCAAACCCGAAAAGCCCGAAACCCCCCTAACGAACCCTCAACCCTCAACCCCACAAATCCCTGAACCCTGAGCCAGAACCCTACCTCTAACCCCCCGGAAAATCTCCACCCGCGGCGCCTCAGCCCTGAAACCCAGGCGTTGCTTCGAGCTCTCTGAAAAGGTCGAGAAATCGCAAAAGAACTTTGTGGACCGGAAGATTCTCAAATTCTTCACGTTGGCCGTCTCAGTGGCTCTCCTAGGAGGGAGTGGGGTTGAGGGTCTGGGGTTCAGGGGCTTTTGGGTTGCGGGGTTAGGGTGTTAGACGCGTTTTGGGTTTGAGGGTTCTTGGATGGGGGGGAGTCTTTGTGGTGGCTCTTCCCCCTTGCATGGCATGGGAAACCTGCCAGATATTCCGAAGCCCCTTCCGCCTTGCGTCTGAATCGCTACACCCAAAAGCCGAAAACCTAAATGTCGAATCCACGGATGGGTTCTGGTCCTGCCTAAACCCCATAAGTCCGAAGAGCCCCAATTACAAACCACCCGAAACCGAACGTCACGCAGTACCTGCCTACTCCACCGCGGGCTTCTTTGTAGACCTGGCGCACAAGCTGTGGGCCATCCTGGTGTTTCTGGTGCTTGGTCCACTCTGCAAGGGCCTATAAGTTTACAGGGCTTAGGGTTTACAAGTCCCACGTACAACGCAAGGAGCGATATAGTGGGGACCTTTTCGAGCCTGCCCAAAGATGTACCTTTGATGGATGTTCGGATAGATGATAGAACATCATCTAACCAAATCTGACCCAATATCTACTATAGCGTATTGGAATGCAATGTACGGTGACCCAACATAATATCGTATGGTATCAACTCGTTAGAAAAAAAATATATATATATACATATACATATTCATGAAGTCCGTAATTTAACAATCTGTATCACCCTGTTCTCAGATAGGGTTTCTTCGGGTCAGATGCATGTGGAGAACATGACAAGTAGGTCCTACGGCTAAGAACTTCACCGGGACCCTTATTCCCCTTTTTAGGGGGTATTCTGGCCCCAAAATCTCACCCGATGATGCCAAAAAGGGTGCTCGGTTGACCCAAACAGTTTGACAACTTTGTGGGTTCCTTCTCGCCCCCGCCTACCGCTCCTATTCAGCCTAGAAGCCCTGAACCTTAAACGTGCCCTAGTAGCCCTAAACCCTAAACCTTAGAACCCAAATAAACCTTCTAAGCCTAAACCCTAAACTCTAAAAGGTTGGGTTTCGGCACTGTGCTTGTGCACCCCCAGCTGCGGGGGTGTGGACCAGGAGTTGTTTATGCTAAGACTGTTAAGGCTGTCGCAAAATTGCCCTGCCCAGCCCTAGAACGCCCTTAAGCTCTTGAACATTAAGCCCCTCTGAATCCTAATCCCTTGGAGCCCCAAGCCCTGAACAGCCTTGCGCCTCTTACTCCCTTAACTAAGACCCTTCAGACCTTAAACGCTTTAACCCTCTGTACACCCCAAACCCCTCGAGCCCGCATCCCCTGTACCCCCCACACCCTAAGCTCCCAAGACAACAAGCAAGTCGAAAATCGCGTGAACCTGCAGTTTTGATTTGGATTATACATTTCAAGGCTTAGGGGCGCCCGACTTTCTCAAGCCAGCACCAGCAAGCTCAGAACAAGTGGAACACTAAACCGGCCTGGTGCTCCCGCGACACGAAACGCAAAGTATGCTGTCTGCACTGCCCCTTCTTGAAAAAGCAAGTTTTTCAAACGCATTCAGGCTTTGGGGCTTGCGGTTCGGGGCTTTGGGGTTCACATTTGTGGGTTTGGGGTTCGACAACCGGCCCTACGTTCCTACACATTCACATGGCCTTTCTTAGACCTTTTTCAGGGCCGCCACATCTGAACCTTTCCCGCCTTTGTCGTGTAGGCCTTTCTGTGGGCAGAAACGCTGCTGACAGATCAGCCACTGCCGGTTGCATAAGAAACCCTAAACCCTAAGCCCTAAACCCTAAACCCTAAACCCTAAACCCTAAACCCAATGTTCAACTTAGCACCTGCAGCTGCAGGTGCCTCTAAGCTTGGGCGTTGGAAAGTGGGCCCCTGAGCCTCGACTGGAGGATTTAGGGGGTTAGGGTTTAGGGTTTAGGATTTTGAGGGTTTAGGGTTTAGGGTTTAGTTTTCAGGGTTTAGGGTTTAGGGTTTTAGGGCTAGTCACGAAATGCGGATGGGGCCGGGGGTTGAGGCGCTGAGGGCCTCAGTTTCAAAACGACCTGTTCAGTATCAGGACCACCCAGACATCCCAAGAACATCCGGGTTGAAGAGGCCCCCGTTTGCTTTCCTGAAGTACCCTAAGCTCTCCTTAGCCCTCGAACCGAAGCCGCCCCGCAGCCTCTCAAAACCATAATCCTTAAACGCCTCTTTCTGAAGCCGTCCTTCTTGGAGTTCCCCCAAAAGGGAGGCGCGAGCTTGCACCCTAAACCCTAAACCCTAACCCTAAACCCTAAACCCTAAACCCTAAACCTAAACCCTAACCCCTAACCCTGAACCCTGAACCCTGAACCCTGAAACCCTGACCCTAACCCTAAACCCTAAACCCTAGACCCTGAACCACCCCCGAAGCAACTCCAAGGAGATCCTGCCGGCCTCGTGACGGCCCGTGCCAGACCAGTTCTTGGCCGTGCTCCTTGGTAAACCCGAGTTTCTCGATGTTGGGTCTCGGGTTTTGGGTGTTGAAGTTTTATAGGTTTATAGAATTGTATAGGGTTTGGGTCCCAAGAACTTTCGAAACGTTTCGAACGAAACGTGAGGGAGAGGGGGAGGGGGGGGGGGGGGGGGGG